AAAATGTATTAATAAAATCATGTCAGTTGTGGAAGCTGCTTTTTAGTTTAAATTTCCTTTAGAGGTGTAATCAACTACTTAGGAAGCACAAAGGACTAGAAAAGAGCACAGCAATCTGAGTCTCATTCCTGGGTTTCATAGCCGAGCTCAATTTGACACACAATAGATGCTTAACAAAAATTTGTCTAAGGTATTATGACTACAAAGCACTCCAGAGTTAATATTGGTTCAGGGGAGACATTGCCACCTAGTGAAAAATCAGCCTCATTACCTAGAATTATCAAATCATGCTGAGAACTTCCCAAATTAGACTTGACTCCACTTAACACACTACATGCATATTTATTATGTGTCAGTATTCAGGGTAGGTACTAGCAGGAAAAAGACGAACAAGCTTCCATCTTTGCTTCTTACAAAGTACAGAAAATACAAAGAAACTTCATACTCCACAGAGAAACAGAAAAAACTGTACCATAGAAAAAACAAGGTTTGATTATTAGACATTTAGAAACTAGTATTACAAGAAATTTGCTGAAAAGGAAATTTAGTGTAGCAAGTAAGTGCATGGACTCCAGGACCGAACTGCATTGATTTAAAGCTATGGCTCCAATAAAGCGAGGATAATAGCCCCTATGTCATCAGACTACTGCAGAATTAAATCTACGTAAAATGCTTAAAACAGTGCTGGGAACACAAAAAGTGCTATATAAGTATTAACTATAATTATTATTAAATTTAAAACAATATCCTAGAGACTGGGGTGAATAAATATTGATTAATAACAAAACATTAACTGCTAAAGTCCAGCTTCATAAATTTAATTCAGTAGAAGCCGTTTCTCTGAGTAGTACTCTGATATTATGGGAATCCTAAAAGTACATTATTTGTGGTACTCTGTGACTAAATTTTGTATTGCTGGATGATTAACCCTTTCAACATCAGGCAAACAGAACTGTCTTCTGAAAGTAAAAATCATATTTCTTACCAAAAAAAGCAAAAAGTCAGTAGAATGAAAGACCCAAAAGACCACAGCCTGAACATATGCTTAACAGGGAAAGATGCTTGCTAACTCTTCACAGATTTTGCTAGAACTGAAAGATGGATGATACATTTAGCTACCACTGTGGTCTCATTCACAACTTATTTAGCTTATTAAAAAAAATAAGCTTGCTCCATTTTCCTTGAAAATCATCAGAAGCTCTGATAAACACCACTTAAACATCTCTTAACTCTTTTGTGTTTTTTGAATTTTATACTATTAAAGTATTTATGTAAAGCCATATGTAAACTTTATTTCCAAACAAAAAATTATGAGCAAAATATTTCTGTATTAAAAATTAAAATACAAGTCAAACTCTAATAAGTTAGTAATAAATATTACACTTTTCTTATGGAACTATACCATTCACAAGGACTCTGCTAAATCTTGGATGGTTAAGATTACTTAACTTCTTCCTAAGCTTCCTCTTTTGAAAAATAGCAATGAGTTGGGAAAAATGTGTTGAAACATTTTGACTTTTAATTTGTTTTTAAAGGTGTGTTTGCATATCAAAAATTGTGTTTGTGATAGATTGCACAAATAATTTTAATTTAATGTGCCTATTATTTGAATATTTTAATTTCTAAAATGCTCATGGAAATCCTTCCTCTTGTACATTAAGACAGTGTGGAAATAACATTACGTTTTTAATTTTCTGCGTTTATATTCTAACAAATTGACCTGGATGGAAGCCTACTTTAATAAAAGGCTGACCAACAGAGTAAAAGAGAGGAGAAATAAACTCTTCAACTCCTTTCCATATAGATATGCTTATCAGTATATTAAAACAGAAATTCTTATAGTCAAGTGTATACTGGTTGGATGAGCAGAACAATCCATTTTATCTTTTGTTTCAATATTGTGCTTATCAATTTACCTAGCACTTTCACAGTCATTGTTGCATAGAATCTTCACAAATACCCATCTCAGGTAGAACAGGTACCTTTTAATAGAATTTGGCTGTGAACCTGTCTAGACCTGGACTTTTTTTGGTTGGCAGGCTGTAATTGCTGCCTCTTTCAGCCCTTGTTATTGGTCTATTCAGGGTTTCAACTTCTTCCTGGTTTAGTTTTGGTAGGGTGCCAGTGTCCATGAATTTAGCCATTTCTTCCAGGTTTACTGGTTTATGTGCATAGAGTTGTTTGTAGTAATCTCTGATGGTAGTTTGTATTTCTGTGGGATCAGTGGTGATATCCCCTTTATCATTTTTTATTGCATCTATTTGATTCTTCTCTGTTTTCTTTTTTACTAATCTGGCTAGTGGTCTATTTTGTTGATATTTCTGAAAAATCAGCTCCTGGATTTATTGATTTTTTGAAGGGTTTTTTTGTGTCTCTATCTCCTTCCTTTCTGCTCTGATCTTAGTTATTTCTTGTCTTCTGCTAGCTTTTGAGTTTGTTTATTTATTTATTTATTTATCTTGCTCCTCTAGCTCTTTCAATTTTGATGATAGGGTGTCAATTTTAGAACTTTCCTCGTTTCTCATGTGGGCATTTATTGCTATAAATTTCCCTCTAGACACTGCTTTAAATGTGTCCCAGAGATTCTGGTAAGTTGTGTCCTCATTCTCGTTGGTTTCGAAGAATATCTTTATTTCTGCCTTCATTTCATTGCTTATCCAGTCAACATTCAAGAGCCAGTTGTTCAGTTTCCATGAAGTTGTGTGGTTTTGAGTTAGTTTCTTAATCCTGTGATCTAATTTGATTGCACTGTGGTCCGAGAGACTGTTTGTTATGATTTCCGTTCTTTTGCATTTGCTGAGGAGTGATTTACTTCCAATTATGTGGTCAATTTTAGAGTAAGTGCTATGTGGTGCTCAGAAGAATGTATATTCTGTGGCTCTGGGGTAGAGAGTTCTGTAGATGTCCATTAGGTCTGCTTGATCCAGTTCTGCGTTCAAGTCCTGTATATCCTTGCTGATTTTCTGTCTTGTTGATCTGTCTAATGTTGACAGTGGAGTGCTAAAGTCTCCCACTATTATTGTGTGGGAGTCTAAGTCTCTTTGTAGGTCATTAAGAACTTGCTTTATGTATCTGGGTGCTCCTGTATTGGGTGCATATATATTTAGGAAATTTAGCTCTTCTTGTATTGATCCTTTCACCATTATGTAGTACCCTTCTTTGTCTCTTCTGATCTTTGTTGGTTTAAAGTAGATTTTATCAGAGACTAAAATTGCAACTTCTGCTTTTTTTTTGCTCTCCACTTGCTTTGTAGATCTTCTTCATCCCTTTATTTTGAGTCTATGTGGGTCTTTGTGTGTGAGATGGGTCTCCTGAATATAGCGCATTGACGGGTTTTGACTTTTTACGCAGTCAAAAAAGTCTGTGTCTCTTGATTGGGGCATTTAGGTCATTTATGTTTAACGTTAATATTGTTATGTGTGAATTTGATCCTGCCATTTTGTTACTGGTTGTTTGTTTTGCCTGTTGGTCAACACAGTTTCCTCATTGCATCATTGGTCTTCACCATTTGGTTAATTTTTGTAGTGGCTGGTACTGGATGTTTTTTTTGTGTGTGTGTTTAGCGCTTCCTTCAGGAGCTCTTATAGGGCAGGTCAAGAAAATGAAGCTTCAGGAAGGCAAGAAGCTTGTGCAAGGTCACTAGAATAACAGAATGAAGCCTAAATCCCATTTTTTGGTCTCCTAAAATGCTTAGCTCTTTCTACTACTATGCCTCTAGAATGGACTTCTATGCTTATTGCCTAAAAACCAAATTGGCAAACTTAACTATCCTGGGCTAATCTGATGATAAAATCCTCTGTCAGTGGCAAAAAAATAAATTGCTTGAAGGAAAAAGACAAGAGTGGAACTTTGATGTGTATGTGTAGTGAAAACTTCAAAGGCATAAAAAGCAAATTAGAAATTGAATGAAGACGATTATAAAACCTCTTAAGAGTCTGAGGAAATAATTTGCTGCCTACTTCCTGCATAACAGTTCCAAATATAAAGTACTTCAGTATAACTCTTCATTTATGTGAAGATTTAGAGTGGGTACAGAGACAGAACTGTTTCAGGATACATGTTGAAACTAGACACCAGATTTGGACATTCAATAATGTGAGGAATCCATCAATTTTTTTCTATAATCAGGCAGTGTTTATTTTTGCTAATATCTGCTTGTAATAGTAAATGCTACTGTGTTGTTTGACAACTCTACCATTAGTAATAGTTTATATAATTCCGAGGATATGTTGCAGAAATTATTTCTTCTCTATAAAGTTCTTTAAAATAAGATTAAATCTTGATTTTACACATTATTTTCTAACATAATTCACCCAGAAGGCATAATATAATCCATACTATAATCAATAACTTCAGATTTATAACTTAATTGCCTAAGAATTGCAATATTGAGAATGACAGCACTAATAGTATAATGCAGAAGAGTGGCATCCTAATTTCAGGAAAGAAGTTAAAGAAATATGTGAAAACCAGCATAAATCCAAAGAATTCTTAGAATACCATATTGTCCCAGAAAAATAATGTATCCAAAGTTTTTACTTCCTTATCATTCCCAGGAATGATAGACTAGTGTAGTTGCAGAGCTTGAAAGACATTCGATTTCTCATTCCAGGTGATGTTTTCACTGACATGTGATTTTCCCCCTACTTTTTATGTTAAGAAACTCTTAAAACTACAACTTATTAAAAAGATATGCTTTAGTAAGAACATAGGATAAAATATTAACTCACTAGTCAACTGAAAACATTAAAGATCTGTATTTCCTAAGGGTTATTTACCTTTTAAATTTAGTTAACATATTCCCAAATAATTTTTAGGTAAATTCTATTTATTTAAATTGATTCACAAAGAAACTGGTGGCTAGCTTTCTGTGATTCCAACATAAGTGCACAATTGTTATGTGTACTTTTGTCAACATTTAAATTCCAGGCTGATTCTTGGTTTAGTCTAAATGTAAAGGTTGCTCTAAAAATTCTTTACTTATCAAGTAGTAGACTTACCATGGAAATCATAAATATACAGAAGAATTGGCTCATTTTGCCCAAATGCACAGAACGCAACCATATTTTCAAATGGATGATAAGAAATGTCTCGAATAGGTGACTTGAATGGCAGGTCAGAATACATGGCTACTTGTTCTCCTAAATAAAAAGAGATTCAAAATGTATATCAGATATGTCTTGTTAAAAGATTATTCTGCCATTTATTAGAAAGTATTTATAGTAATGATGCTCATATTTATGTGAAAATCTCAAATATTTATAAATGTTTGAGTTAACACTGTATTAAATTATCTTTATCTTGCATTCCATTGACCCTCCTCTTTCTACTTTCTAGCTCTTCCATGAGGTTTTCAAGGCACAAAATATAGACAAAGGGCATAGAAGGAAGTAGAGAGGTATGACTCTGAGATCGGACAAAGCTAGGCAAACCCCAAATAACAGAGAACTCTAGGAAGAACTAAGGGAGAAATTACAGGACTCTAAAACTAGAGAAACTCTAGTTGGGTAAGCTTTGGTGAAGGATTAACTTTTCCTTTTTTTTTTTTTTTCTAGAGGCTGTTTGAGGTACCCATTTGCTTGAAAGATACCTATGATTATGGCCTAAAAGATGGCTAAAGCAGAGGTCTGTGGAACCCCCCAAAATCAGTCAGGAGTCAAAAAGCAAAGAATCTAGATTCATTTATTGTAGGTTAGAGACATTTAATGCTACTGGATTGATGCAAAAGCATCAAAACATGGTACAGGAAACAAATAAAACACACAAAAACTAAGTTAGCTGATTAGTCTAAATGCCTAACAGAAAGAATAAGAAAATAAACAAGGAAAAATCAATACGGTTCATTAAAGAAATTTTAAAGTAAATTTTATAAAATTATATCAATTTCTTATTAAAAACATTCATGTAGCTTTAGCTTTTCTTTTGAAAAGCAAAGGTGAGGCACAAGTGAGCTTCCCAATGTAATTGTTCATTAAAAAAAACTGAATTACAATAATTCGGGTAACTTGCTATTTAAGTTTCAGACATCAAAACTTTCACAGGTATGTTTCTGTTACTAATGAAAATATATTATAGATGTTTAGCAATTTGTCTACCTAGTCATATTCCAAATTCAGCTTGTAATGTTTTATACTTTGCATTATGGTCTTCATTAAATACTTTTCTAAGATCAGCACTCTCATCATAGGCCATGAAAGAACAAACCTTGAATTATAATGTGAAATTCTAAATTCATAAAGATATTAAGGCAATAAAGAACAGAATTTAATACACGTTTAGGCTGTAGCTGAGTTCCTTTAATGGCTTTCTAATCTTAAAAAACATAATTAAAAATCCAAAATCAGAATTTCCTTGAAAATTATTCCACAAAATGGTAGAATTTTCATACTTCTTCAAACCCCTGTTCCTCCCCAAATATTTTTAAAGTTCAATAAATATTCACCTGTTTCTGGGTTCCAAACACACACTATACCATCCTCACTTCCAGCAAACAGGAAAGTCCCACATGGAGTCAAAGTACTATGAATCTTCTCCCGATAATTTGCTGCTCCAACAAATTTCCTTGCTACTAATCTATAAGCAAAAAAGATTTTACAAATTTAACTGTCTTAACCATGTAAATGAATGGTGGTAGAAAGTTTTTTCTCTTAAATACTTTAATTTCTATTCAACAAACATTTTTTTGAGAATCTGTCATATGGGAGACATTCTATAATATAATGGATACAGAACAAAGAAGAGCTAGTCCCTGGAACCAGGGAGTTTATCATTTAGCAGGAGAGAAGAAACATGTCATTGTAAAATAGAAGGTGGGCGTACAAAGTACTACAAAAGAAAAACAGAAGAGTTCTTTTCAAACTTGGATAAGAGAAATTAATTCTAACTATGGAGAAAGAGAGACTACTTTATGGAAGTAGTATTTGAGCTGGTTACTAAAAAATGGATAGAATTTTTATACTCGCTGGGTGCAGTGGCTGATGCCTCTAATCCCAGCACTTTGGGAGGCTGAAGTGGGCGGATCACGAGGTCAGGAGATCGAGACCATCCTGGCTAACATGGTGAAACCTCGTTTCTAAAAATACAAAAAATTAGCTGGGTGTGGTAGTGCACACCTGTAGTCCCAGCTACTCCAGAGGCTGAGGCAGGAGTTATCACTTGAACCCGACAGGTGGAGGTTGCAGTAAGCTGAGATTGTGCCACTGCACTCCAGCCTGGGTGACAGAGCAAGACTCTGTCTCAAAAAATAATAATAATAATAATAACAATAATTTTTATACTCATAGTTTCTTCCACCTGATGAATTTTTAAAATAAAAGGAATATTTGATCTCTGAAAAAATTAGATAAAACATATTATTAAATCATCTACTAAATATGGTACAAAGCCTTCCATATTTTTTCACTCATGAAATAATAGTTACCACCATTTCAGCACATACTTTGTGCCAGGTAGGTACTATTATCGTCCCTGATTTACAGAGAGAATATTAGATACACTGCTCTATAATCTGCTGTTTTCACTCAAAAATAAGTCATAACGGACCTTCGTGTCAGAAAATATAGATTATACATAAACATTTTAATGGGTACATTAAATCTATTGTTGGATGACATTAGAATGTTTCCAGCTTTCCCCTACCATGAACACAATTTCTATAAATAATCTTGTGTGTACATACATATTACAACATTTTTACTGTTTTATAATTATTTTTTTAACATAAATTCCCAGATCTGGAGTTACTGGGTCTAACTTTTCTAGGGTCCTTGCTATGTGCTTTACTGTTTTAAATACTTTATATGTATTAAGTTGCTTATTCCCAACAAAACCCTTATGTGTATGGCGTATTATTTCTCTCATTTGAGAGATAAGAAAAGAGGCACATGGAGAGATTGATCAGCTAGTAAAGGGGTAGAGAAGGCAGTATTTAACTCTAAGTAGTGTCTTGCAGAGCCCAAGCATGATATTAAGCTATATACTATACTGCTTAAAATTCTCTCTCAGTATTCCTTGCCAAGAACCTATGCTCATACAGATTAACTCACTCTGCTTTAAAAGCCTATTATTTCACTTCTGAACTTTGTTTTCTATTCTACTAAAATATTTTATCTTGTCAAAATTCTACCCATCCTTCAAGACTGAGCTTAAACGGCAGCCTCTCAATAGAGCCTTTAACAGAAGACTATATTATAGTTGTCAGTTTTTTTGCTGCTATGAAAAATATAGTCCTTTTATTACAAATTTATATTCATTAAAATACTTGCTAGCTGCCAGGCATGGCATGGATGCTACATACAGGGAAAAAAAAAAAAAAAAAAAAAAAAAAAAAAAAAAAAAAAAAAAAAAGTAGCTTCCAGTCCTAAAAGGTCTCACATTTTAGCTTAATTAAATGTTTTTTGGTTTTATTTTGAAGGTACACAACTAGATTATAAACAAATGGTTTAATTTTGTTTATTCTCCCACAGTATCCATGACAGTTCCTTGAAGTGTTTTACATAAATATTGAAGGGTATAAGAGCTAACCCTAAAAAGATACAGAACTAAACTAAAATAAATTACATTTGCCTTTCTAAATACTAGAAAGAAATTTAATAAAATAGCTTTCTCTCATTTATTTTACAGAAACTCAACACCACAGCAAAAGTGTACTAGAAGTCCATGACGATTTCCCAGCATTGCTTCTGCCTTTTACAGTAAGGATATTTCCCTACATTCACCATTATTTGGAAATAAAGAAAAAAACACAGACGTATAAATCAAAAACCTCTCCTTCAGTTGTATTATATTATACTAACGCCATAACAGTATCATAGTGATATCAGTATCAGTCAGTAACATTGTAAAAGACAGAAGCTTCTTTTTTTTTTTTTAATTGTGAAAACAAAAGCAACTAACTACATTTCAGCCTCAGAACTATTCACATTTTGGGCTGGATAGCTGTTTTAGGGAAGCTGTCCTATGGTCTGTAGGATGCTTAGCAGTATTTTTGATCTCTACTCATTAGATACTAAAGAAACACTAAAAAAAAAAAATCTCCAGATACTGCCAGATGTTCTCCGGTGAGCGTGGGGACACTGCCTAGTTGAGAACCACTATCACATTTTATAAATATAATTTAATTCATTACTTATTCTGTGAGTACTTATCCTGTCAATACTGAAATATACTTACATCCGGAGATCCATAATTCTCAAAGTACTGTCTTTGGTATGGATTAACAAACGTTTTCCATTGGGATGAACCTCCAAGTAACTAACTGGAACCCCCTTAAACTCAGTTTCTTTAATTTCCTAAAATGATAAAAAAAATACTGCTAACGAAAAATTTGTTTAATGTTAAGCTTTTTTTCAGGTACAAAATTAATTTTAAAATATCATTTCCAATTCTGCTGTATAGGTTGCTCTATAATTGTTAGCAAAAGGATTCTGAGTAACTTTAGTTTAGGTTGAAAATAAAGCTCATGAACTGTATTTCTGTTATGTAACGCCACATTTAATTAGTATGTGTTTTTGTACTATGTTCACTTTCCCCAAATTTAGTCAGTCCCAAACAAGCAGCACTTCCAACAAACTCATCTTCTAATATTAATTTTTTTCTTTAAAATCACATAAGGAAGCTTCCAATTTTTATAAATCCAAAACCACATGTAGAATTATTTTTCAAGTTTCTATTCTTATTTAGATAAGAATTTCTAAAAACAGAAGGGACTGTTTTTTAAACAGATCTGACAGACTCGACAGATTTAACTGCAGTTCCTGGAAACTACTTTTCACTTAGGGTATCTTTTTTCAACTACTGTCATATTATGAAAAATTGAAGAACAAAGGTATAACATGTTAGCCAGAAACTGAATCAATTTATATAAAACAAATTCAAGTTTAATGATTTATTTGTATTTTTAAGAGTAAAAAATGTACACTAACAAAATTGTTTAACATACAAGCTATCTTAAAAACACTCCAGCCCCAAAAGGAAAGAACTTATTCCTTTGTTTCTATTTAGAACATTTCAAATGAAACAATTATTGTGATTAAATGACAGACCTCCATAATAATTGCCTAATTCTGAAAGACACCAGTGTTTATAAAATACCGAGAATACTGTTTTTAGAGATATTATTGGACCAAGGAAAAAGGATATGCATAACAGAAAACACAAATTATTACTTATCAATGATAATATAATACACATCTCATTTTAGCATAAATGTCACCCAATGAATTATTGAATGCCATAGTGCAAATGGGGTATAAAAAAGTGAAAGCAACACCTGGCCAAAATTTTAAAAATCTTCACTAAGTTGTTAATACTATCAAGCAGCCATCAGAAGGGTGTGCTAATTAATTATTGATAATTGACTATGAAAAACTGTTAATTTTTTGAAATGAGAGAACAGAATGTCCTGACGTCCTATCTTAAAGTCATATAACTGGATTTTTTCCAACTTCCTTAAATCCCAAAATATGAAATATTATTTTATACCTTATCTATAGTCCAGTGGTGCACTGAATGTTCCAAATCATTAATCTTGACATAGGTATTCCAAACAACAATCACCCCTGTGCAGTCTCCTGAATACATATGATGACCTATTTAGAAAAATAAGATTACTCACTTAAGAACGTCACACAGAGTTAGAAACAAATAATAGGAAGTTGGGGGAAACCATACCCCAGTAAAACAGTCAAAGAATTGAAGGGCTGTTAAAAGGTATCCAAAAAGCAAAATGCAACTCACAAAAAAATCCCAATTACCTTTAAATAAATTCTTTTCTCTTTTAAATTATTTTTGATGACTTACTTCCCTTGTCACTTACCTGAATTTAACTACACAAAGAAATGAGCTTCTCAATACATGTGTATATGGCTCAAACTCCAAAGCCAAATAATTTGAACCATCCAACATGTAACATTATTTCTCATCTTTATTAACCTGTAAATCTACTTTGTATTCCTAGAAAAATACCTATATTCTAATATATAGTGTTAGTATAATTTCTGAGACCCAGTGGAAACTCATCAAATGATCAGGGAATGAATAAAATAACAACAGGTATTCCAGTTCAACATCAATTCTTTGGAGTCAAATCATCTTAAAGTTGACAGACGTCAGAGACCATCAAGTTCAACTTCAAACCCACTCAGGAATATCTCAAACACCACCACTAACAGATGGCTGTTCAGCAACTGTAAATTCAGCATTTTATAAAACAGCTATTCAACTGGTGAACTGCTTCCTGTATTATAATATTCTTTGTAATTCTGAACAAAGAAAATCTATCTTCTACAGCTTTGGCCCACCTCTGCCCATTGGAGTAACATGGACCAATTTCCTTTTTTTTTTTTTTTTTTTTTTTTGCACATTTGGATACCTTATGGCCAAATAGTTGAAGAAAGTCTTTATCTCTCCCTTATAATCTGTACTTCTATTATGACATAGTTAATTTTCAGATACCTTTCTATTCAGTCTTTCCTGAATATGTTCCAAATTTATTAACATCTCAATAGCTGAATTGGGTAAATCAGCAATATTATATCCTTTTGATCTGGATCCTGCACCAATTAATTATAGTGATAGTCTATATGACTAGTCACTGGGATTATGAAAAAAGTGAGTATTTAATAGATATAATTAATTTATTCTTTCAGATAATAAAATGATTTGTATTTTACATCTTTAAAACAAACTATATTATTCTTTTTTTTTTTTTTTTTTTGAGATGAAGTCTCGCTGTGTGCCCCAGGCTGGCGTGCAGTGGCATGATCTCAGCTCACTGCAACCTCTGCCTCCTGGATTCAAGTGACCTCCTGCCTCAGCCTTCTGAGTAGCTGGGACTACAGGTACATACAACCACACCTGGATAATTTTTTGTATTTTTAGTAGTGATGGGGTTTCACCATGTTAGCCAGGATGGTCTCGATCTTCTGACCTCATGATCCACCTGCCTTGGCCTTCCAAACTGCTGAGATAACAGGTGTGAGCCACCATGCCCTGCCACTATGTTATTCTTATATAAAGATAAAACTTTAAATAATTACAAATTTCCCTTCTATATGTTTGTAAATTTTAAGGTTCTTAAAAAAAAAAAAAACTAAGAATGATAATCACCAGTTCAAAGAAATATATTGATGAAATTTGGCACATAACTGGTTGTTGTGGCAAAGATTAATTGAATCTAAATATTTAAGAATTTAATAACTTAAAAATTACAAACAGAATTCCTTCAGTGTCAAATCAATCACATGACCGGCAAAACAAGCATAAGCCTAAATAATATCAGTACATAACCCTTGCAAGCTTAAATAACTATTATTCTGGTAAAAAAATTATTCACATAGCTAGTCTTCATTCATTGTCTCTGACATACCTTCAGTATCAAAACAAAGTGAGTTGATAAAACTTTTGTGAACATCAAACTGTCGGACCAATATGGCAGAATCCTCTCTCATCTCAACTTTCCATATCCGTATCATGGAATCATAGCATCCTGTAACTACTAGCTCTGTTACAGCTGGATGGAATTTAGCCGTGTAAACAAAAGAAGGATGAGGTAAAACTTTGAAAGTATTTGTATTGTTTATTTCATTTTTCCATATCCTGGAAAAGGATAAGAAGTTACATAATGTTTCTGAAAAGTAGAAGTTTCTTTTAACAGTTTTTCTAAGAACCAACATAGCCAATGAACCTGAAGGAAGGAAGTGAAAACAACCAATGGTAAACCAAGTTTTAAAACAATAAAAAATATAATGATGATCTCATATTTGATGACTGGAATTTTCACATTTTGACAAAGTTATTTGTTATGATTATTATCCAGCATATTATACTCGCTAATTGTAATCTATATTGTAAAATTAATAACTGTTTTTTAAACCTATTTTACCATTGATTAAACATACATTGAACAGTTAGTAAAATATTGCATTTAGTTCAATATACACAAAAAATATATAAGAAGAAACTTTAATCATTTCCCATTTAGGTTATGTATACCACTTTTACGAAATGTTTATTCATGAGGTTTAGAGAATAGCATAGTCTATTAACTTTTATATTTGTAATTTCAAAGCCTAGATAGTAAAAATGAAGATCTCAAAGATTTAAAAGTGATACTGAAATTGTATTTTGAATTCTCAAGTACAATAACATTACAGTAATTACGACATTTTGATAGAAAACACTATCCTACATTAAGCAAGCTCTTTTTGTTTAACAGTCATTATCCTGTCCTCAAAATAATGGCTACTTTAAAAAAATTTATTATCACTGCTACAGTCTTGACAAATGAGTAAACTGTAAGGGTTAAACTGTTAGATACTCTGCATTTCTAGAAATGTATAAAATGAAGTGAAATCTACCAATAGACAGGTTTATAAGTGTGAAGCATTGGATTTGTTAATATATTTGGTTAATTTATTAAAATTAGAAGAATACATTAATTTTAAATATGAGGATTTATATTAATCCTTTTAATTACTGCTTTAAAACTAAAGCAAATTAAGTCTGTTACAAGATTATTGATTAGAGAAAAAAATACAGTTTCTATTCAAGAATAGTATTCTATGAGTTTCCTCAGCAGCTGCTTACAATATAGGATATGATCTTTAATTACTAAGAATTCAAACTAATAATAGAGGAAGTGAAAGAACACGTTTTTGGGTAAAAATAAGGCACCTGAATCACTAAACAAACATTTTTACCACAGTATATTTTCAATAAACATATTTATATGAAATATGCCTATTAGGAGAATAAAATCACTAATTTAAAAGAAATATTAAAAAGATAGTTAAGAGACAACCTCAGTTGTCTGGTAATAAATCTTAGTAGCATTATTTAAAATACTATTTAACAGGCAGAAATGAAGCAAATATATCTTCAAAACAGCTCAATATAATTAAAACAAACATAATATTTTAAAAACAAAAGTGAGGCTTTTTATGTAAAAACTGAACTGGAATCAGTGATGGTTTCTGTTACCCAGGCCATGGTAGAATCTGAGATTAAAATAAATATATAAATGAATTTGGGGAAAAAAATTAGACTAGATCATAGAGAACAAAGAAACGCAAATTTGTAAAGACTGAATAAACACACATAAAAATTAGTAGATTTGGAAAAGAAAAAAACATACCAAAGTCAAGATGTATGTTTGAAAAGAGGCAATAGTGGGGACATACAGGCCTGTTTGGGAGCCATTACATGTGGAGAAGTCTTTCTGATTGTAATAGGAGTTGTCGATTTGAGAAAATCACAGATTATTCTGGGGATAGCTAAAGAAGGGGATTTAGGATAAACCGATACAGCAGAGAGCTAACCAAGTGGGAAATACATAGAAGACACTAACAGTAATATGTGACACAGATAATCAGGAATAAAGAAGGAGAAGACATGGACAGAAATCCATACTTCTGCCACTTGTGAGCATTTGTAATTCTAATTCTCTTCCTTTGGACTATGGCTTATTTATTACAAGCATTCCTTACCTCTTTGAAAAATCTCCTTGTTGTTTATGCTAGCCACAATGCTTCTCTTTTCACTCAGTTAATGCTTTCACAATACTATTTTTATGATATAAAGAGTCCTAAATTAGTATCAGTTTTAAAGATAAATAAGGAAAAATAAAAGGGGGCTTTAGTATAATATACTACATATTGTGTGAGGAAACTCAAGATAGCTTCAAGAAATAATAGAATTTGAGGTGAATTTTAAATAATGGCTACAAATCTATGAGAGCTCACAAAAGGCACTTAATTTTTGTTGAATGAGTGAGTTAGTCAGGAAGGGTAGGAGAAGGTCGTTTAAGTATAGAAAAAGTAGGTAAGTTTCAAAGGGCATGAAGATGCCAAAGAAGATAAGATGCTAAGAGTGTTTCAAAAGATTATGTGGGTGAAGCAAAGGGTAAAGGGGAAGGCCATGAGAGAAGAATGTTGGGTCAGTGAGGAATATGCCTGTTATGCTATGCTAAGGATCTGGAAAATTTTTCAATGGGCAATGGGTAAAGTCTTTTAAAAAATTAAAGCATTATGAATGATAGCTATGGAAAGATACTTTTATCACAGCAGATACAGAGGACCTAGAGCCTAAACACTGAGGTCAATAGCAACAATTTAAGCAAGGGGAGGTAGGCTTTGAATTAAAGCAAACAGGATAGAGAGGATGTGGCAAAATGATGAGCCTTTCAGGAGGGAGAATTAGCAGACCTTAGTGCTAGTTAGATGTGAAAGGAGTGATGGGAAAGAAAGAAGAGTGAGCACTACTCTGAGTTTCCAGCTTGGGAGATGGTGGATAAGGACGTCACTAAAATACATATAAGAGAATTAAAGGAAAACAAAATTTAAGGAGGTTGGTAAGTTTGGTTTTGGATTTGAGGTGGCAATGGGCCATTCAAATGGAAACATGTAATAGGAAGTCAAATCAGTAAAAAAGGTGCGCACTAGAGGTCGTTAGCATATAAGTGAGATTCAAAGCTGGGGAAGGTAAGAGAAACTAGGATACGCATATAAAACCAGGAGATGATCAAGTAAAGGATCCTGGGGATAAAACACAGAGAATCCGCAGAGGACAATGAACCAGAGAAAGAGAATGGATAGAACTTGTCAGAGTCATAAAAAGAAGAGAAGAGGTTGTCAATGAAAACCATGAATTCAAAATATTTCAAGACTGGTCAATAATTCAATTACTACAGTGAAGGCAAACATAACAGGAGTTAAACTGGCCAAATGGATTTAAAAATAGCAAGAAACTGCCAACCTCTTGAAAAAAGAAGTTTATGTAGCATGGTGGAAAGAAAGCCAGACTAACTGGGCTGAAGTAAAGACAGTATGTGTAGAATGCTCCTGACGGTGTAGAAAAAGAAAAATAGTGGGCTAGTATAGAAGCAGGGAAGAACTGAAAATGATGCTTTTAAGATAAGGCCATTTGAACATAGTTCTAAGATGAGAAGACACAATCAATAGAGAGGAAGATACTAATCAGTCTAGTAGATGAAATACAGATTTTTCAGGGACTGAGATTAAAAGCATAGATAAATAGCCTTTAAAAAGTCAGCCTCATACCTCTGTGTTAAAAGAGATGGACAGAGATAAAAGTGGACATATCTATGGATATTAGGAGGGAAATCAGAGGGAACTATATGATGTTCATGTCTGACTAAATTTCATCTAAATTGAAGATAGTCATCTAATGAAGTGGGAAGATTTGAATTTACTGTGGAGAATGTTCATGGTAAGGTCTGGATCTGCTGCCAGAGGAGTGAGAAAAGAAAACCTAGTGAAGATAAGTAAAAGGATTCCTCAGTAGAGATGACAGCTTAGGTGATGTTAAGACTTACAAATCCAAAGTCACCCCTTAGCAAAATTATGTATTTTTCTCTAGTATGGCCTAGCATCAGACAGATGTCTGTGCTAAAAGAACAGATCAGACATGTTTTCAAGGATATTGTCAAAAGGGAGTAGTAGCAGGTTCCCAGCATGACCAAGAAGGAAGTTGTTACTAATTTTCATCTTTTTCATTTAAATAAAAACTAACCAATAATGATAACATCTTGATTAGACCTTGTACACAGAAAAGGAGGTTGGCAACATCAGTAGAAGTGGTCCCAACACTAAAAGTAACATGATGTGTTAAGAAAGTAGGAGGCAGAAGTAAATGACAATGAATTCAGCATGGATCTCAACTGTTTACATGTCAGTTTCCCAGTGTGTGGAGAGAATAATGTGTGTCTACCTAATAGTTGTCAGAATCAAATTAAGTAAATAAAAGCATCCTGAAAACTAACAGTAGTTTTAGAACACACTCAAGGCAGAGTAAGCAACTAAAAAAAGTATAAATGAAACTTGAAAAGTTAGCTTTTAAAATGTTTCGTTGTGATACTTATAAAATTGAAAAGGGATACACTATTTTTAAGATTGAAATTCTGAAAAATGCAAACGTTTAACAATTTATAAAACTCTTATAATACAAGGTACATATTTATTTATTTCCCCTACTGTGATGTACTGAGCACCACTGGATTCTAGCCTGTGCATATTCAGCCAGTAGTGAAGACAGTATCACTGCCACCAAGAACTTATGCTCTAGGAAAAATCTCAGGTGTTTAATAACCTCTAACCCTAACTCAAAGCATTAATCAGTTTATATAATGAACACTTAAAAATGGTGAGGACTAGAAATATGCTACATAAATTAAAGATATTTAAGAAACAGGTCTTTAAAAAGTGTTACTGTAATTTATGGAATCAGTCTACACAATGCATATTTATGACAGTCCCTTCACAGGTAAAGTATGACTGGAGCATAAGAGTAGTTATATCACTTTATATTCTCTTTGCTTTCCTTGATGGCAAGCAGCATGCACATAAGCACTTCTTAAGGATACTAACCTCGCAGTGCCATCAGATGATGAAGTAAGGATATAGCGATCATCTTTTGACCAGGAAAGGTCATAAATGATGTTGAGGTGGCCACACAATTCTCTCATGAAACGTCCAGAAGGAATTTCATATACTAATGAAAATATTTAGAAATTAGTAGGTTTCCACACAGAAGATCCTTAATCCAATAATATACAAATGCATAATTTAATATTATTTAGACATAAGCAGTCTGTAGCAAAATTATAACCAAAGACATTTGCAGTGTAAAGGAAATTTAAAAATTTACTTAAGAATCCTTTTTCATTTGCTTTATACAAGAATTCACATGCAAAATTATCAGTTATAATTTTGCTATAATTGTCAATTATTTTCATCTCTTTAAAGAAGTTCCCTAAGAATCTTTAATAATAAATTTATTAGTTGAATAATAAATAACATTTACATTGCAATTCACTTAAAATATTCTATAGTTTGGGTTTTCATTAATTATTATTTTACCTGAAAATCAACCAAATGCCAACCAAAAATTTAATTACTTGAAGTAATGAGAAATTTATATTGTGCTATTATCAAAAGTAAATTTTAATACTAAAATCAACAGGGATAGTAGTCAGGGATACTAAGGGAATTAACAATTACTCAATAAGACATACAAAGCACTGTGGTATTTTACTATATGTTTAAACATACAATGAAATCTAAGATAATAAACTTAACACAGAAAAACAAAGTTTCCAAGTCTCTACTTCCATCTAGTGGTAAAAATCAATTGCCCTTTCAAATACTTAGCAGTTCAGAAATAACAGTAGTCCCCCCTCATTTGTAGTTTTACTTTCTGTGGTTTTCAGTTACCCGCAGTCAACCATTCTCTGAAAATTTAAATGGAAAATTCCAGAAATAAATAATTTATAAGTTTTAAAATGCACATTATTCTGAGTAGTGTTATGAAAGCTTGTGCCATCTAGCTCCATCTGACCAGGATGTGAATTATCTTGTGTCCAATGTATCCATGCTACAGCAACTAACTGTCTACAAACTTAGTAGCTGTCTCAGTTACCAGACTGGTTGACACCTAGTGCTGCTGTTCAAGTAACCCTTATTTAAATTAATAATGGCCCCAAAATGCAAGAGTAATAATGTTGGCAACTGGCATATGCCAAAAGAGAAACCACCAAGAACCTCCTTTAAGTGAAAAGGTGAAAGTTCTTGATTCAAAAAGGAAAGAAAAAAAATCCTATGTTGAGGTTGCTAGGATCTTCTATCTGTGAAAAAAATCTTCTGTGAAATGGGGAAGAAGGAAAAAGAGGTTTGTGCTAGTTTTACTGTAATACCTCACAATACAAAAGTAATGGCCTTTAGTGCATGGTAAGTGCTTTGTTAAGATGGAAAAGATAAAATCTGTGGGTGGAAAATATGAGCAGACAGGTGTTTCTACTGATGGCAATTGGGTTGAGTGCTACTTGAGGTTTCAGGCTTCCACTGAGCGTCTTGGAACACATCCTCTACAGAAAAAGGGGGACTATTACACTTATGGAATAGCAAAATAAGAGTCTTGGAAAATCTCCTCCCCACAGAAGTAACAAGAACACTGGCAAAAACTGTCAAAAATCAACGTTGTCAGAACTCTGAAGATTAAACAATGCTTACAAAAAATTTGAGGAGTACTTGAGAAAAATGGCTAAATCTTGGTAAGAACATTGAGCTTCATGGTGTTTTAACTTGCAAAGTTCTCATTCCTGTCTCAAACTTTAAAGTAGTCTTAAAAACCAATAAAAATCAGGAGCCTAGCAGCCACTGGAGGGGAGAACAGGTCTGAAGCTCCCTCAAAGTTCCATCCCCAAAGACTTCTTACTGTTAGACAGTCTGGCCCTCGATGAAAGATCCATTCTCAGGGCCTGCCTTTATTTGACCTGGCTCACAGCATGCTCTGGGAGAACAGCCCTAACCTTGGGGTGCATGTCAAAACAAACTGTGGCATCATTTAATATCACAGCTGCCTAAGACATTGGTCCCAAGTAAGGCTAAGAAGAGGCTCACCAAAGAACTTAAAATGAAAAACAACAAGAAGAAAAAAACAAAAAACAAACCAAAACAAAACAAAAAAACTGGGAATGAGATGTCCATAGGGAACACTGAAAAGCTCCAAAATACTCCTGGGTATCTAGGCAGATTCCCACACATGTATGGGAGGGGAATATGCACACCCAAGAAAGACCTGAGAGGCTTTACTTCTCACTTGGGTTGACCTGGCACACATAGAATGTTAAAGCTAAGGGAGACCTGTAAACTGCCTACTGAAGCATTCGAGTATGTATACCCTAACACACACAGAGTCCCTTGGCAAAGACCAGTAGACCTATCCACTCAGGCATTTAAAAATCTCTGTACAATCACAACAGTGGTCTCAGTCTGACCACTAACTTAACTGAGGATAGACATCAATGGTAACACATGACAAAGAGCAAAGACTACAGAATCAGTCCAAAATCACTAAGGTAACTGCAAGAATAAATCCTGGGTGGGTGTGAGGGAATAAAAGGGAGAATGTGATTTCCAGAGCTGTCACACTGTATTAAACATTCAGTTTTCAACACAAAATTATGAGAAATGGAAAAAACAGGAAAGAGTGATCCATACACATGGAAGAAAGTAGTCCATACAGAAACTGAGGAAGCCCAGATACTGGGCTTTCTCAACAAAGACTTTTAATCCACTACTATACATATATTCAAAGATCTAAAGAAAACCATGTCTAAAGAATTAAAGTGTGAAAAGATTTCTCACCAAAAAAGAGACTAACAATAAAGAGACAGAAATGATTTAAAAAAAAAAGAAAGAAAAAAAAAGACCAGCTAGAAATTTTACAGTTGAAAGTATAATAACTGAAATAAATAATTCACTAGAGGGGCTCAACAGAAGATCTAAACTGAAAGAACTACTAAATTTGACAATAGGTCAACTGAGATTATCCAGTCTGAAAAACAGAAAAAGAATGAAGAAAAATAGAAAAGTCTTACAGACCTGTGGGACAGCACCAAGTGTACCAACACGGGCATAATGGGACTCCCAGAAGAATAAAGAGCAAAGGGGCAAAAAGAACAGAACATTTTCAAGAAATAATGACTGAACACTTGTCACATTTGTGAAAAACATTGATCTGCACATTCAACAAGTTAAACAAATCCAAGTAGACACATCATAATCGAAAAGTCCAAAACCAAAGACAAAGATTCCTCCTTCTCCTCTATTTTTGAGATTTAAGCAATGTCTAAATCTTCACAGCATTTTAAGAAAGTTTACTGAAGCATAAAGTAATGTATTTATTACAAAAGTTTTTAAAACATAAAATCAGAATAAAATAATTCCTTCACTATCCAAAAGAAATAAATTACTTTCAATAACTTAGGAGCATTTTTTGTTTTTGAGACAGAGTCTTATTCTGTATCCAGGTGCCAGGCTGGAGTGCAGTGATGCAATTTCGGCTCACTACAACCTCCGCCTCCTGGGTTCAAACAATTCTCCTGCCTCAGCCTCCTAAGCAGTTGGAACTACAGGCGCAATCCACCACGCCCAGCAAATTTTTGTATTTTTTAGTAGAGACAGGGTTTTACCATGTTGGCCAGGATGGTGTCGATCTCTTGACCTCGTCATCTGCCTGCCTTGGCTCCCAAAGTGCTGGGATTACAGGCGTGAGCCACCACGCCTAGCCAGAGCATTTTTTAAGAATCTTTTTTCCCCCTACATATAGGTTTTTGGTGAATTTTAAAAACAGCATAATGGTAATCAAACTACACAAACAATTTTTTATTTTTAAAATTTATTACTATTTCATAGGGAGCAATATCTATTTAATAAATGCCAATCAAGTCAATCATGAGTCCCTGCTGAAAACAAAAAGACGGCGAAATCAATCAAGTAATAGCAAACTGTGTTAAGTTGAGAAACGTTCCATAAGATATAGTTTGTTTATGGCAGACATCCACAAGGAGCTGGCTACTTCTACAGAGGAGAACTGGTTTTTATTATTGAGTCAGAAGTAAAGGAGAGAGTATTTAATGCTTCTAAGTCTAGAACAGTATGATAATGCTCTAGACTTTAAAAGGTCTAGATAAAGCTCTAGAGCTTTAAAAAGTCTCTAAAGCTACAGAAATAACTGTTCTTGGCCTCTCTGCTGGCTTCCCTATCATAATGAGAAGTTTTCATCTAGGTACTCTTGAGTCAATTATTGGTATTCTACTGCACAACAAATTTGGAGGCTTTTGTAAATCAAATCATCACTGCTATCAACTAACCACATTGGAATAATGTTCCCCATGATAGTTATTAAAACATGCTCCTAAATTTCTATATTTTAAATACAAAATGTTTACAAAAATCCTCCTGCATGTTTTAAAAATAAATTTACCATCTCTCATCTGATCATTCTCATTCTACTTCTGAACAGTTATTGTACAGAAAAGTGTAAAATTATTATAAAAGAACTTTCTCTACTTGAAGAAATCTGTTTAATTTAGTAGTACGGGGGATGACTCAAGTTAAGATTTCCATGAAATAAAAAACTAAAGAATGTTCTCCAAGCAGACTACGATCAGATTAAACAGGTAGGATTATTACTCACAAATAATTGGATATCCATCCCGGCTGGCACAAGCTGCTGCTAGTATTCTTCCATTGTGGGAGAAATCAAGACAAAAACATCCGCGTTCTCCTGCATTTAGTGAAAAGAGGTGTTTGTTTGGGATACGGCAAGCCTAAAAAGCATACATTTAAAAAGTATAAATTAGAAAACATTAAAATGCAAAGGCTAGCTTTAAATTTCAATTACTGTAGTTGTTTTTTAGTCCTTTTATTATGACGCACAGAAAGAGAAAAACACACATGCAGAATGTTGAAAAACCACAGTAAATTACTTTGCAAACAGAGAATGAGTTCCCATGAAATTTTTAAAGTGAATTTGTTCTTTATGTTTAACTAGTACTTAATTCACCTAAATATGAATAGAAAAATTTCAATATCTGATACTCTAAAGCTGTCACTGCCACATTGCTTCTATATACTACATAAAAGAATGTATGTCACAGTCTTATTCTATGACAGCACTAGTAAGTCACTTTTGTTAAAGTCACAAGCTTTTTTTAAGACCACAAGTCTTAAATGAATGCTCATTCTCTTTTTGTCTATCTTAAAATAATAACCCTTTTTGGCTGCCTTCCAAAATGTATTTTCAAACTAATCAATCCTTATTGGTCTCATTCATTATTACAATTTCTTCAAAATTTTAATGTTTTCACCCTCTACTACCAGATGAAGCCAAAATTTTCTGGGTATTAATATCTACTGTGGAAAATACCAGTTACTTTTATTTATTTTAATTATTACCTAATTCTATCTCTCCCAACCTTCAGTGAGCCTTAGTTCTTCTGTTTCTTATAATTTAAAAAGTTGAATGAAACGTACACTGGGCTTCTACTATATGCCATGAAAGTTGTACTTTGTTACAAATGTCTGAATATATATTCATCACAGCCATCCTACGAGTAGCTACTATTAGCTAAGAGTAACCATTATTAGCTACATATAGCTAATAAGGATTATTCAAAGGGTCATGCCTAGCTTAATGGACCTACTCAAAGACTTACTTCAAAGCCATGCTTTACAGACCAGCCCAGGTTTTTCACAAATAGTACCAATATCTAGCAGTAACTTGGGAGGCAGCATTATGACCAGCTACTACGAATGTGAAAAATTCAACAGAATTTGTTAAGTGTCAAGTATGTACCAGACTCCACGCTACCCATCTTTTCTGTGCATTCTCCATCCACATAACTAAGAAAAGGGAGAGTAGGGTAACAAGGGAACAAACATGAAAAGAAATGTCAGGAGGCTTTATAATCACTTGCTGCTGCTCCTAGAGTAAGAAGTGTAGTTACGGAAAACTCTGTGCCCAATCACCTAGGCTGAAAATGAAAACACTGAAGCCACTACCATTTTCTTTGTATTCTCAGGGTTTGACACTGCGCCCTAGCCAGAAGAGACTCAATGAATGTCTGATAACAACAATAAAGTTCCTCAAAAGCTCTGACTCTTTCCCCTCCTTTACTTCCTTGTCAGTCACTAAATCATCCTGGTTCTTACTTTCTGTCTCTCATATTCATTAACCCAAAGTTAGACCCTCATCACCTCACACATCAATGACTTCCATCTAATTCTGATGTTACTATTTCGAGATCTGCCCATGCCATTGCCTGCATTAATTCATCCTCAAGCACAATTGTTATTTTTCTCACCCACCCAAGAACCTTCTTAGTCCTCAGATCCCTCACAATCAAGTATCAGGCTACCATTTGAGACACTCCAGAGTGTGGGCCTAATCCATTACACTACTTTATCTCTTCTTTTACAAACTCTAGTTTCCAGCCAGGCAAACTTTTGAGTACCTAATGAATACAACAGGTCCTTTCCCACTTATTTACAACTTTGCCTTTGTATGAAATAACCTTCTTTGTCTCTCCTTCACTCAACCCCTACCTTGGCCATCCTAGCCTATCTCAAGCTCCGTTGTCGAATGAGCCCTTCTTCCACCATTCTAGTTCACATTCTTCATATCTGCAATTCTCAAACGTTTTTAGTTTTGAGATGCTTTACATTCTTGAAAATGTTTTCCAGAGGCTAAAAAAGTTTTCATAATAAAATAAAAATAAAATAACTTGCTAACTTCAATGTCTAGCTTAATAAAATCTAGACTTTCATAACTGCTTCTGCTCTCTTGTGATATCAGGTTATCTAGCCTCTAGAAAATGCTAGTACATACTTGTAACAGAATGAATCTGAATGAGATTAATAACACCTTAGAATCATTATGAAAAGAAATTGACTTCAAGGACCCCCTGAAAAGAACTCAGAACTCCCAGAGGTCTCCAAACCACACTTTGAGAACTGCTGATCTGTACAATTATCTTTGTATCTACATTTCCTCAAGACTTCTCTGAAGTATACCTGAAAATGAACAACATTGTAACTGCTTTCTTTTCTCACCTAACCTGGAAGTTCCCCGAGGGCATAATCTAAGTGTTATTCTCTCCATATTATTATGCTTGAAGTATTCTAACTCAAAGTGATTTAAAAATGTATCTGTAAAATTGTCTTCAAAAAGAAAGTTAAATGTGACATAAAATACAGAAAATGAAGATGACTAAGTAAGAATAGTAAGTTCTTATTTCTATATTAGATGTTTGAATAAGTTAAGATTTTTGGATAAATTTCATCTGGTCGTAGCTTATATGCATAAAATAAACGACTCCATTCTTTATAAAAACAAGTTTTTAAGGTAATAAGTAAACATCTAAAAAAATCCACTATTATCAATCACTTCACCTGCCCAGGGAGTCGTTTCCACTTTATTACTTCCTTTGAATCTTCTAATCCAGGTTCTGTGTCTACTGAACTTGACTCATGCTGACGTTCACAATGCACTGGTTTACCTTTTTCCTCCTGAAGAGCCATCATAGAGCGGTAAGATGGCTTTATCTAAATATGCATTAAAACGTGGAAAATTTATATATCATGTTCATCTTTTTCTTTTTCTAGCATATAGTTTTTAAAATACTGAAACAAATAATATAAAAATTTTTCAAAATGTAATCCAGAAAAAATTCTACTTTTATTTGTACATTATTGTAAACAAAATGAAAAAGCCGCTTAAAATTACAGTCATATGACCAAAATGCCTTAAAAGTTTCAGAGGAAAAAATATGACTACAAAGACTGCTTATCACCGACACCTATGAGTTATGCCATGGCTCTGATATACTACCATATCTCTGGCTTTAAAATCACAAAGCTAGTATCATAAAAATCTAAAGTTTTAAAAATCCTAATTTTTCAGTAATATATTTAACTCATCCAAACCAATGCAAATCAGCTCTGTAGTGACAATATATATCAGGTACAGCATGTGCAAATGACCTGAAAAATTAATGTCTTAAAAGAAATAAGATGAAAGCAGAACTTTTTTATTTTAGGGCCAATTCTTTACTAAGATTATTTATAATATTAATCTATGGAAAACAGCAGTAGAAACATTACATACTGATTATTTGAATAATATTGTGAAAGATGTACCCAGAAATCAGGAGTCTGCAAACTGCAGCCCACACACCAAATCTGGCCTGCTACCTGTTTTTATAGATAAACTTTTATTGGAACATATCACACACATTTGTTTAGTTATTGCCTACACATGTCTATGTAGCTACTTTCACACTATCAAGGCAAAAGTGACAGAAGCTACAGGGCCAAAGCCTAAAATATTTACTATCTGGCTGTTTATAGAAAATATTTTTCAACTCTTGCTTTAAATCAACTTTTTATCTTTAATTTTTGAAAGCCAAATTATAATGAAACATTTTTCCTAACACTAAAAGCTGCATTTCATATTTAAAATTCATTTATGCTTCTTTTAAATATCAGCTATTATAGGCTTAATATATAATCCCAGAAATCTACTAAAGTAATTATTAGAGGCCTTATCTTTTAAGAAACGACAAACATGTTATGTCACCATTTCAACAATAGAGGATATACACTTATATGTACTATTAACTTACACAGTCTGGAACTTTCAGTCCTCTTACAGTTACATACAGTGTTGATGGGTAACGATTTCTTGGACATTTTGACCACCATTCAAACACCTCAACAACACTTAATTGGGATCGAGGCTTAGTAGGTGGGCAATATAGCTGCAAGCGAAGTTTTGAGTTGATGTTTGCATTTCCATTGGCTCCCAGAAGCTTAAAATAAGAATTCATATAAAACGTTACCTTCATTGAAAATAAATATATCCAACAAAGCAATATTATAAAGTCAGAAACATTTTCAAAAGATTAATATGGCAAGCTGAAATGTCTTGTTTTATAAAGCAAAGAACATTGGCATAGTTGGTTAAACACAGTTCCAGAACATTTTTGACAAAAGGTAACCCAAATGGCTTTTAAAATATTTTTCTACTGGAAAATATTCTATATACCTACTGTAATCTACATACCTACTGGTCAGGCATGGTGGTTCACATCTGTAATCCCAGCACTTTGGAAAGCTGAGGTGGGCAGATCACGAGGTCAGGCATTTGAGATCAGCCTGGCCAACATGGTGAAACCCCGTATCTACTAAAAATATAAAAATTAGCTGGGCATGGTGGCAGGTGCCTATAATCCCAGCTACTCGGAAGGCTGAGGCAGGAGAGTCATTTGAACCCAGGAGGCTGAGGCTGCAGTGAGCTGAGATCACACCATTGCACTCCAGCCTGGGTGACAGGACAAGATTCCTTACAAAAAAAAAAAAAAAAAAGAAAAAGAAAATTCCTGATAGCTCTTTTTTCACCTGTACAACAATTTCAGACTGATGGTACAGCATTTACACTACTGTGCCAGATTTCACACTGAACAATGGAGATGATCAATACACATTTGTTTGAAATAATTATGATAAAGATTAAATTGCATATTTACACAAGATACAAATTTTCCATTTGCTTAATATCAGTATTTAAAATGGTTAAAGTTTTATGTTTTAAATTTTTAAAAAGTTAAAATCATTCTAAGATAATTAAACTCACTCACAGGTCATTTGCTACATTTTTTCCAATATTTTAGTGTATCTTCTTTCAAAAGTCTATTTTTAAAACGCTGTTAAACAAAACTTATGTTTAAGCTAACTTAATGGAAGTTTTTGTCTTTTTTGGGGGTAGGGGGCAGAATCTTGCTCTGTCATCCAAGCTGGAGTGCAATGGCACAATCTCGGCTCACTGCAACCTGCAACTCATGAGTTCAAGTGATTCTTATGCCTCAGCCTTCCGAGTAGCTGGGATTATAGGCACATGCCACCACACCTGGCTGATTTTTGTATTTTCAGTACACTCAGGAATTTTGCCATGTTGGCCAGGCTGGTCTTGAACTCTTGGCCTCAAGTGATCTGCCCACTTCAGCCTCCCAAAGTGTTGGGATTATAGGCATGAGCCACCATGCCTGGCCCTCAATGGAGATTTTTATAGGAAAAATAAAAATCTTACCAACTCTGAATACATCCTCTTTCATTAGACCATGACTGTAAATAGGAAATGAAATGTCTTTCTAACCTTTATGTCCTCTACAAAATAGAGGCAGAAAGATAGTTTGAAGCCTTTCCAACAGTTCACACAAAACATGGAAGTATCTTAAATTAGAAGAATACGCACTGAGTGCAGGGAACATATTTAACAATGGTTACTTGTAGACTTATGTAACTTGGAAAGTAAAAAAAAGAGTCAAGAAAGACCATAAGATAGTATCGTCCAAGAGAGTTTTCTATAATGACAAGGATACTCTACATTTGTGCTAACCAGTAAAGAATCCACATGTGACTACTCCGCACTTGAAGTATGGCTAGCACAAATGTGAAACTAAATTTTTAATTATATTTAATTTGAATTCAAACAGCCACATGACTTGTGGCTACCAAAACAGTGTAACTTTTAAGTTCATAAATCTGGGATAGTGGACAGACAGTGGTACCACCAATTGAAGTAGCAGAGACAGTAGCAAGAATATTCAGTTTGGGGGAATCTGAGATATCTATGAGTTATCTGAGCTGAAATGTCCTGTAGGTGACTGCATTTACAAATCTGAAGCACAGGTGAGAAAAGCGGTTCCAAGAAAAGTGGGTTAAAGACGAAACCATGAGTAGGACTGATATTAAGGAGGTGGGTAGAAGACCATGAAGGAAACTGAAAGACTGGCATAAGAAAAATTAGGAAATCATGGTGTCAAGAAAACCAAGGTAACAGAGTTTCAAGAGAATGGTATGTTAAATGCGTAAATGTGACAAAAAAACTAAAATATGTTCAAGAAATTTGGCAAATAGAAATCATTAGTGATTTGGTTGGAGAAGTTTCAGTGGCAGAGGCAAAATCCAGAATGTTGTTCAGGAATGATGAGTTCAGAACTGATGCATCAACAAGGAAAGAGAGATGGCAAAATACAGCCCATCTTTCCCACTACCCCTTTAGGAAAGAATGTAAAGACAATGGAGGTTATAATTTGAGCGGGTAACATTGTGATCAGTGTCAAATGACACACAGGGGTAAAGAACAGTTCCAAATTGAATAATAGGTATGTTCAGTCATTAAATAATAAGCACTCAAGACTCCCTTCATAAACCTTCTTACAGCTCCCCAAAGTTCATCACGGTAATTAAATAAAGATATTCCCCAGCTTCTAAAACATACTTCCCACAGATTGTTTTAATTTAACCAAGCAATTCAGTTTACATTAATATGCTGCTTAACATGCATAAAGAACTAAGTTTCAGCCAAGATCCTGCCATTATGGTTATAAATTATATAACATAGAGCTCAAATAAATAAGGCTTTATTGCTTTTTAGTTTAAAAGAATAGCCACATATATGTACTAAAAGAAGTGAAAGTACCTGAGAATCTGAGGCATAACTGAGAATTAAAATAAAGTCTCATTTGAACTACTGTAATAACAATTATCCAAGACATCCCTGGAACCAATAGTATAGGTTATAAAACATCTAAATTTTAATTGTCTTCACGCTACTTTTTTTTTTTTTAGATGAAGTCTCACTCTGTTCCCCAGGCCGAAGTGCAGTGGTGCAATTATGGCTCATTACAACTTCCGCTTCCTATGTTCAAGCGATCCTCCCCGCCTAGCCTCCTGAGTAGCTGAGATTACAGGTGCACACCACCACACCCAGGTAGTTTTTGCATTTTTAGTAGAGACAGAATTTCACCATATTGGCCAGGCTGGTCTCAAACTCCTGACCTCAGGTGAACTGCCCGCCTCGGCCTCCCAGACTGCTGGGATTACAGGTGTGAGCTACTGCATTCATCATGCCACTCTCTTGAAGACAAGTTTTATTCTCGTCATTCTTTCCATGATCATTGATTAATTCTCTCTATATTCACCAAGCACTTTCTATGTGTCATTAATATGCTGGGAGCTGGTGATATTATAGGATGGAGTTTCAAGAGAGTGATATATTACATGCAAAAAGATCTAGCAAAATAAGGACTAAAAATGTTCAATATATTTACCCAAAATAAGCCATTGGTGACTCTAAAAAGCTTACAGTATAATGAAAAAGAATATAATACATGCAAAAAGATCTAGTAAAATAAGGACTAAAAACATTCAGTATATTTACCCAAAAGAAGTCATTGGTGACTCTAAAAAGCTTACAGTCTAATGAAAAAGACAGGTAAGTATTAGAAAACAGAAAGCAGATAGAATACCTTATTACCCTTTATGGGGGGATACAGAGAATTCTTGACTGCCATTTTTGCCTATGGCATAAGTTGAATAAATAAATAAAAATCCATATAGTACTTAGAGGTAAAAATGCTATGAAATATGTTACTGCTTCCCAAGTGCAGCTTACAGTAAATACTGCAGGTCTGCACGAACCTTAGCATAAAAGAAATGCAGTTTTTAATAAAACCACAAGATGGCAATATTTACTATGTGAAAGTGAACTTTTTTGTTTTTTTAAATGGTTTCTTTTTTTTCCCTCTAAATCAGTATGGAAGGTGATTCCTTCCATACTGGCATAGCAGGTTTATATAAGGGTGATCATAGATAGTACACTGGACCAGGTGATTCCTAAGGACACTCTCAATTACTCACTACAGCCAACCTGGCTGCTATTCAGTTCTTTGATTATAATACTTCTAAAACCTCTCTCTAACCCCTAATATGGATTAAATGTCTTAATTGGATTTTCATAGCATCTGCTCTATAGCACATAACAATATAGCTAACACATCTGTATAGAAATTAAATTGGTGGGCATATATATACAATGTCTAATTTATCTATGAATATAGTGTATTTAGCAGACTGCCTCACATTTTATAGATAATATTTGTTGAATGGATACACAAATGAAAATGTTTTTATAAGATGGTACAAAATAGACTACTCAAGACTCTTTATAATTTATGTTTGAAGGAATAAAAGATAATCATCAAATTAAAATATCCTTTCTTTAAAAAAAAAATCTATGTCTTTCATCTTTGCTGAAACATCCTAGTCAAAGACATCTAGTAAAAGACAAACGTACAAAGACATTTTTTACCTAGACTACTGTCAGAATTTCCTAATTTGATTTTAAGCATCTACATTTGCTCCCTCTCTAATCTGTTCTCCACATAGCAGAGTATGCATCCTTCTAAAACATAAATCAGATTATTTTCTTGTTTTGTTTAAAATCCTATAATGGCTTCCCACTGCTCTTTAAATTCTATGATGCCTCTCTCTTGCCATAATGACTGCGAAGATCTCATCATCATAATTAACATGCTGTTGACCTCAGCAACCTCCTCATGCCCCATTCTCCCCCGTCAGTCTCTGTCCTCCAATCTTGGTGGCCTTCTTTGATTTTCTGAATTAACCCTGCTCCTTCAAATATCAGGGTTTTTGCATATATTGCTCACTTTACCATGGACCATCTCTTCCCCACTGGTGGCAGTATGTCTCTTCCTCAGGAATCCTTTCCCTGACCCTACAGTTCATCACCCATCCTGTACCTCTTTAGGATATTTATAAAAATTTATAATTAAATGATAAATTGTGAAATCAATTGTTTCGAGTTTATGTTGCTGGAATATGAAGTCCAGGAGTTCAAGGAATTTGTCATCTTTGTCCACTGACAAGAACAGTCATTGGTATATAGAAAAGTTTTAATAAATATTTGTTGAATTGAATAAATAATAGCAGGGCCGTTTCTGTCTTTTTTAATGCTACACCCTCAGAACCAAATAGCGTAACTGGCACATACTGGGCCATCAATAAATATTTAAGAATCTAAATGAGCATAACCTGAGCTTGAATTAACAACTCCTCATCTCTGCAGCCTTACCTTAGATTCTAACTCCTTATATGAGACCAAACTGACTTGGGAGTAGGCACCCAGCTTACATTTGAAGACCATTTTAAAAGTGTTTAAAACGGATGGAAAACATACCTTAAGAAATGCCCAGGCGATTTTCCGAAAGCCACATTCTTGGTTTTTAACCTCAGAATTATTCTTAATTTCATCCATGCTTAAGAAATCAAGAATCTGCAAATAAATTCACAGAAGACAAAGCTACCTAAAATTTAATATTTTCTAATGGCATACTATTAAAAATTTAAAGATCATTTGTTTAGTACTTAAAAACATTTACCTTTACAGGAAGTAGAAACACTTTTATTTCCCTTCATTCACCTTAAAGTTAATTCAATTAGGGAGGGTCCATTTTTTTATCTTTCATTAATAAATACTAAGATTAATTTCAAATCCAAGGCAAAGTGTTAATCACTTCCAGTATAACCTAGGTACAACTATACTAGGCATAGAATTCTTAAGCTTTGATTATTTTGTGTGTATCAGAGCAGACTTCAAAGCATTGTTTGTTTAAAAAACTCATGGCCCTATTTCTGGGTCTTTGCCTTGGAACACCTTTCTAAAGTTGGGGTTTTTCTCTTTGGATATATGTTATAACTAGGCTTCTCAACAGGAATTCTTCCATTCCTCTATCCTGTCTGGACATAAAAGCTCATGGATTTGCATCCTGCCTACCACAGAGATTGTGTTCTAGGTACTTATCAGAGGCTATCACTTTGAACTTACTGGTGCTTATCAAAAGCTCAGCTGTGCAAATGAGATCTTTATAGAAAGAAGACTGCTTAAGAGACAATACAGACTCCATTCCTCTGTGTTTTTCTGATACCTATATCTTTTTTACAGATATAATACATGCTCAGTGAAAACATAATATAAAAAATTCATATATGCAAAGTAAAAACAACTTGTAATTCAGACCCATAGACAGCCACCATTAACATCTGGTTTGCAGGATAAATCTTGTTCTGTGTATTCCCAAACATATGTATGAAACTACAAATCTAATAATGATATTTCACAAATTATTTTCATATAATATGTAGTGAATATCTCTTCATGTCAATATACACACATGAATATCATAATGTTAATGACTGCCTACTATTCTGTTACAAATACCATAAATTTAACAGAAATTTTAACTTATTTAACTAACTCTCTTACTGATCTGAATTTAGGTTATTTTATCTCCCTAAAATTTTTGGTATTATAAGCAGTGCTGAAATAAACATCCTTGCACATACATCTCTGTGGACTTGTCATTTTTCCCCTAGGAGAAACACCTAGGAGTAAAATAATGGTTTTAAAGACTGTGACAGACATTATTCAGTTGTCCTCAATAAACATGTAAAAAGCCAAGATCAAAAAGTAGCCACATAGGCAATAACACATCACATGAAAACTTAAGAAGCAACCCAAAGTGTTTATAATCCAACAATCTATCCTTCTTCATCTTTTAATACTAAAATGAATATAGAAGAACATTATAACAAATGACAAATATTGAAGACAAAGAAAAAATTCCTTAATATATAAATTATATCAATTTTTCAACAATCACAGGTTTATATAAATCACACACAACATAATCACAAATGTAAATATTGAAATATTTGTATCATAAATGCACACAGACAACCAGAAAGTCAAGGTTCATAAAAATAATACTACAAAACGAATCTTCAGCATTGGTTATGCTAAGTATCTTGCTGTTCCCATGCTAAACTTCTCCATCTAGCTTACACCAGAAGGGAGGTTTTCTCTACTTTCTTTTGCTTATGGAGACAGAACATATGATACAGAAAAGGAATGTAGTATTCTAGGTTCAAACTATCTCCAAACACAATTTTTTACACTTAAAATTTGAGTAACTTTGGGGAAACAACTTTTACTCCAAACCTTGTTATCATTTTCAATAAGAAAATTATATAATAACAGCTAGTCAGCTCAAAAGCCATCTATTCCATTAAGCTTTCCCTGACTCCTCTGAACCTCCACTAACCCTTCACATATCAGAAGTTCTACATCACTTTTGGTTATACATTAAATTGCATGAATTAACTGATCTGTGGACATTTATCTTTATTTATCCAGGTAGTGCACATATGGTAGGGTATCTAATATGGTTAAGTAAGTTTATGCTTTGTGAAAAGGTTTAAAAATGGAGAAATGCATTCATATGGAGTGAATTCATCACTTCACCACAGTTAAGAGTCACAGGGTTGTTGTAATTATTAAATGATACAAAGTAGGCTAAATGGCTAACAAGTACAATAGTAAATGCTCAGCAAATATGCTATTGCTGTTTATAAAAGGGCGTCTCACTTGTACTCCATAGCATTCTACAAACACTAAATCCTAGAGATTAAATTCTCACACTTTTTTGCATTATTAGACTACTAAAAATAATAGATTATATTTATGCTATTAAATATTAACTAACATTTAATTTGAATTGCTCTATTCAATTCATACCTCAAAGAACAGGATGACTTTAGGACTCTCACCAGAATCTCGAAGCAAATAGGGAAAATTTTCATTAAATATAATTTGTTCTTCCCACTCTGGACGTCTTGATTTTAACTGTTTAAAATCATATGGCTGGGTCATAATAGGAAGAATATAATCCACATTCTCTTTTTCATAATAAGATGAAACAGGCCGTTTCCTGTTCAAAAAAAGATACTTCCATTAATGGATTTTGTATAATTTTGAGATGAGAAACAAATATATAGTGTATAAGGTGAGACCATCAGAAATAATGAATAGCCATAATAATACAAAAGGAAAAATTATTTTGATTGTTCGTCTAGAAACTTGGAAATAAGACTTAAAAGTAACAGTCCATCTTACAATGGACTCTCTATTGGTTTCACATGATTATTTTCTTATAGAAACATAAAGTAAGAAGTATGATTAGGCCTTTGCTGTACAGAGCTGGGATAAAATAACTCCTTCAGGATTTTATAAGAGTTTATAATAAAATTGACATTGCCAAACACAGTGGCTCAGGCCTGTAACCCCAGAGCTTTGGGAGGCCGAGGCAGGTGGACTTGAGCTCAGGAGTTTCAGACTAGGCTGGGCAACATGGTGAAACCTTGTTTCTACAAAAAATAGAAAAAAATTAGCTGGCTGTGGTGGCATGTGTCTGCAGTCCCCGTTTGGGAGTCTGAGGTAGGAGGATCACCTGAGTCCAGGGAGGTTGAAGCTGTAGTAAGCTGTGATTATGCCACTGCACTCCAGCCAGTGAGACAGAGTGTCTCAAAATAAAATAAAATAAATATATATAAAATTGATTTAAATTAAAAACGGCACAAGATTGTAAACCCTTTGACTATCATATTTTCTTTGCATGCCCTAAGGCAAACGAATAAGCTAATGCGATTTTTTTTTGGACAATCGTCCCGTTTCCATTCCCCACTGGCTTTCTAAACCAATTTTTTTTTTTTTAAATGTTAGTATAAATGTGTATTTTGTTGTACTTTTCATTTGGGATTTCAAGTATGTATTAGCTATAGAAGTAATCTTAGAAAAAGTTCAAGATTCATTTACCTTACCTGAGGCCCAGATAACATATTGCTTTCAAAAGAAAAATATGAAGTTAGACAAAGCATTTACAAGGCAATACAAAAGATTTAAAATACAACTTTATGTCATAAATTACTTACTAAACAGATAGAAGCTCTCTACCACTTATAACAAATTATTCTCTTCCACTTAAAAGTAGTTACTGAGCTGGGTGCAGTGGCTCACATCTGTAATCCCAGCACTCTGGGAGGCTGAGGCAAGCAGATCTCCTGAGGTCAGGAGTTCGAAATCAGCCTGGCCAACATGGTGAAACCCTGTCTCCACAAAAAAATACAAAAATTAGCTGGGTGTGGTGGTGTGTGCCTATAATCCCAGTTACTCGGGAGGCTGAGGCAGGAGAATTGCTTGAACTCAGGAAGCAGAGATTGCAGTGAGCTGAGATTGTGCCACTACTCCAGCCTGGGCAACAGAGCAAGACTCTGTCTCAAACAAAAAAAAGTAATTACTGAATTAGATGTTCTCCATTTCTTCTATAATATTCTGATCAATGTCAATGATTGATGAACATCTACAACTAGTAGACTATTCTCTAATACAAATCCATAACTCTATTCCCACTAACTTTCAACTACCAATGCCAGAAAAAAAGACTTCTACTGCAGTTTCAATTTCAAGAATTAGTTGTGCAATTAAAAAATAATTACCTATCATCTTTCTTGACATATTGACCAGTATGCTCATCAACCACATGAATTTTTACCATTGGCTGAGAAATCATAAAATCTGACTTAAGTCTATCAGTTCGGTGAATGTAAACTCCCAGGACAAGGTCATCATCAAGCAAACATTTGGGATAAACTGGGCTATCTCCGCTTGTGATTTTGTGAACACCATCACCATGAACATCTTCGTTATCATGTGCAACTACATGCATGGAAAAAAAAATCAATGTTATAATTAATTGTTCCCGTAGTTGTATTTACATATAACCTAATCTTTAAGATCTATGATGATTTCGTTTGATTAACAAAGGAACTTTAAGGGGAAAGAGAGAAAAAGCCAGACAACAGCAAACCACAGTCTGAAAGTAAAATGCTACATTTACTAATGCATTAAAAATAGGATGCAAAATCTTTGTTTATATTTTTCCTAACAAGAAGCAGAAACACACACGCGCGCGCACACACACACACACACACACACACACACACACAAAGCGAGTCAAAGTCAGGAAAGTAACTTTATCTAGGTATTTTCTAAATAGAATATATAGGACTCAATACACTTCCAACTAGAATTTCCACTTCTGGGTAGGATGCAATAAGATGCAGCAGGTAAACACTTTGAGTAACAACAACTGGAAAAAGCCAAATCAATTACAAAAGCCTTATTTTAAATTTTAAAGGCATCAGAGACAAGGTATACTAGACAGATTAAAATTCCAGAAAGGGAGAATCAGTCAGAGGTCAGCTGATGGAGTGGCAGCTGTTTTTGCCTCTGGGGGCATTTGCTGATTCAGGGTGTGGGCTGAAGATCAGGTTTTGGCTTAGGCAGAAGGTCACGGCTAAGAGAATGAGAAATCAGCAAAACTCAGTGGTTCCACAGGACCAAAATGATAAAACTGGGGATTTGAGAAGCCTCAAACACACGACCAATTTTTCTCAGAAAACTGAATTCTGAATCTACAGAGAAGCTAGAGAGGTAGTGAAAACTCCTAGGCTTGTGATGCTAGTAGACCATGACCTGCCAGGGGAAGGGGACTGAAACAAAACAGGCAAAGATGATGCCCTGGGGGCTGTGGTCAATTTACATTAAGGACCAAGAGGCCACTTTTCACCTGGGGTCATCTACCAATTCTGGCACAGATCTAGGTTGAAAATCCAGGGGTGATTTCTGGCAGAAGGTTGCTACTTAGGGACAGAGAAATCAGCAGAGATTTTAGCATGCATGGGGGCTAGTGTGACAAAAGTGGATACCTGAAGAAGGATGTCTAACATACAGCCAGTCTCCTGCTCAAAGAATTTGCCAAATTTTGAAGTTGCATGAGACAGAAGACTAAATGGCTAAGTTGAAAATCACTAAGGGGCTAAATAGAACCTCCCATTGTATTTTAGGGCTAAAGAATTATTTAGGGTTACAAATTATTAGAGATAAAAAAGGGCACGCTGCATAATGATAAAAGTGCCAACTTGACAGAAGGTAGAAGAAAAATAAGCTCAAAATCATAGTGGAAATTTTAATACCTCTCTCAATAGCTGATAGAATAAGTAGACTAAAAGATTTAATAAGATGAACTGAGGACAATTAAACTTGACCTAACTGACATGCACAGGACACTGCACTCAACATTAGAAATTACATTCTTTTCAAGTGAACATGGAATATTTACCAAATCTGACCATACAATGTTCATAGAAAAGGCCTCAATAAACTCAGAAGATTGAAATCATTCATAATGTTATCTGACAACAATGGAAAACAGAAACCAATAAAAGATAACTAGAAAAGCATCTGCTGCCTGAAACTAAGCAACATACCTCTAAATAATGCATGATCAATTAAAATGGAAATTAGAAAATATTTTGTGTTAAATGATAATAAAAATACACAATATTAAAAATTTTGGAGATGTAGGTAAAGTAGCACTTAGATGAAAAGTCTTAAATGCATATAAAAGAAGACTGAAATCTTTCTTATAAAATCTAATTTGTAAATCTAGAAATAAATAGCAAATCATACCCAAGTAAGTACAAAGAAGGAAAATAATAAAGTTACAAAAAAATCACTAAAATAGTACATAAATGTATGATAGAGAAAATCAAAGCTAAAGGTTGGTTTTTGAAGACTCACAAATTTAAATCCTAAGACTGATGAAGAAATTGAGAGAAAACGAACTGCCAATACCATGAATGAAAAAAATGGAACAGACTTTCAGATGCTATGGAAATGCAAAAGTTGAAAATGTGGATTAAACAGACATATCCCTCAAAAACTACAGTCTATCAAATAGCGGAGAGAAGTTTATTTAAAAAAAGGGGAAATCAAGCCTGTAATCCCAGCACTTTGGGAGGCCGAGGCGGGTGGATCACGAGGTCAAGAGATCGAGACCATCCTGGTCAACATGGTGAAACCCCGTCTCTACTAAAAGTACAAAAAATTAGCTGGGCATGGTGGCACGTGCCTGTAATCCCAGCTACTCAGGAGGCTGAGGCAGGAGAATTGCCTGAACCCAGGAGGCGGAGGTTGCGGTGAGCCGAGATCGCGCCATTGCACTCCAGCCTGGGTAACATGAGTGAAACTCCGTCTCAAAAAAAAAAGGGAAAAGACTGATAATAAGCTAAATCTTGATCTGTATCAAGGCAAGAAAAATGAATAAGGCATAAGGACTGAAAAAGAAGCAATAAAACTATTGTTATTAACCTATTACGTGATTGTATATGTAGAAAAATCAAAACAATATATGAATAAACTCTGCTGGCCATGATGGCTCATACCTGTAATCCCAGCATTCTGGGAGGCTGAGGTGGGAGAATTGCTTCAGCCCAGGAGTTTGAGACTAGCCTGAAAAATATAGTTAGACCTTGTCTCTACAAAAAATTAGCTGGGCATGGTGGTGCATGCCTGTAGTCCCAGCTACTTGAAAGACTGAGGTGGGAGGGTCGCTTGAGCCTAGGAAGCAGAAGCTGCAGTGAGCTGAGATTACACCACTGCATTCCAGCATGAGTGACAGGGCGATACCTTGTCTCAAAAACAAATAAATAAACTCTTGCGATAAGTAAATTTAGCAAAATCAATGGATACAATGCTATAAAGTTTTAAATCAAATACATTTCTACATATATGTACCAGCAACAAATTAAAAAAAAATTTAAATGCCATTTACAATACCGTTAAGAAATATAAAATCCTAGGAATAAATCTAAGGAGGGATTCTGCTGAAATTTATATTACTGGGATATATTAAATAAGATACAAATAAATTGAAGTGCATGCCAAATTCAATGACTGAGAATAATACTTTGTGAAAATGTCAAGTCTCTTTAGAGAGTTGTTATACTGTGAATCTCTTTAGATTCACCCAGTCTAGATCAAAATCACAGCTTGTAAGACAGGATGGGGGTAGGAAGGAAGAGGGAGAATTGAGAAGCTGCTTCTAAAATCCGTACAGGAAGGCAGAATAAAGAACAGCGTAGGCAATGCAGATAAAGAAGGAAAACTCTAGAGTACAATACTACGTAGCAACACCTATTTAGACACCTATTTAGAGGTGTTGGTACAAACTGTCTAATATAAAAGAATAGAGACTACAAAAACTGATCCACATGTAACACAGTCATGTTATTAATGAGAAAAGTGACACTGAAATACAGAGGGAAAAAGACACTCTCTTCAGTAAATGGTACTGGATCAATTATAATACATATTCACATGGGAAAAACATTATCTTGATCATTGCTTCCTATCATAAATAAAAACCAATTCCAGATGAACTGCATATCTAAATGTGAAAAGTAAAACTTTTAAAATAAAACTTTTAGAAAAACATCTTAGAACTTGGGAAAGATTTCTTAAATTACAGAGAACACTTACCATCAAAGGAAAAAAAAAAGGATAAACTGGAGTATACAAAAATTTGTTTTTCGAAAGACACCAATGAGAGAGAAATAATCAAACCAGAGTAGAAAGACATTTGCAATATTATATATGTGTGTGTGCATTTACATCTGAGAATGGACTCATATTTAGGAATATAAACTATCACTACAAATCAATTAGAAAAAGACAATTCTGTTTTTTAAAAAATGCATAGAAGACTTGAATATATTTACAAATATCAAAATCCAAGTAGGTAATAAACAGGAAGGCACTCAACTTCACAAGTTATCATGGAAATAAAATTAAAACCAAAATGAACTATCCTTATAGACTCCTCAAGAATGAGGAATTTAGTCACTCCTAAGAATGACTAAAACTTTAAAAAACTGTATCTCATGTTGGTAAAGACATGGAGTGACTGGAACTCTCAAACTCCGCTAGTGTCAACTGGCAAATCAACTTTGGAAAACTGGAAGTAATTATTAAAACAAAAAATATATATAATCTATGACATAGCAACTTTACAACTAAGAATATGCCCAAGATAAAGGTATGCATGTGTTTACCAAAATACATGACTGCAATGTGAATTACAGTTTTACTTAAAATTGCCTAAAACTAGAAACAACTCAAATGGCCTCAATAAAATAGGTAAATTAATTGTGGTATATTCACACAATGGATATCCAAATAATACAAAAATAGAACTAAGAATGAATAAGCTCAACTGTATGCAAGCGACACTAGTGTAAATGTTACAAAAGTAAAACTGAGTAAAAAAAGCCAGGAACAAAGAGCACAGTTTTTATCATTCTATTCATATTAAGGTAAAAAAAATAAGCAAAAGTAAACTGTTAGATGTCAAGGTAGTGTTTACTTCCACAGAGCAACTAAGGGGAAGGTGATTTTTCTGGGTGTTAATCATGTCTGTTTCTTAATTTGGATACTTATTTTATAGGTATGTTCAGTTTGTGAAAAAACTTTAAAAACATATATAATGAGTATACTGCTTAGTGCTATATATACATGTAAACTTTTTTTATATACGTAAACATGTCTATATAAACATATAAAACTAGTATACTGCTTAGTGCTTTTCTATATATATATATTTAAAATCTAAAATTGACCATTTTGATACCAATTTTTGGCCAATCAAATGGAAACTGAAAGACTAAAAAAGGATGTACGAGTAGATAAGAATATGTAAAGAAAAATACAAGAAAAGAAACAAAAAAAGGAGAAGACAGAAAGCAAGAAGGGAAACAAAGTTGAGAATGGGAAGAGAAGTGGTATTAGGCTGAGGCATTGGAAAGGTACCATGCTTG